ATGATTTGTCTGGATCCAGTTGTTGAGTCTCTGTACTAATTTGCTGTGTGGGCCACTAGCCTGTAAACCTGGACAACAAAAGCCACCGTGGAAAGCATGCAGGTGGGGACTATGCTGGTGGGCACAGGCCAGTGCCAGGACTGGATCTCTGTTTCCAAATGGCAGCTCCCACCGGAGTCCCTGCCTGCAGTAGCTCCAGCAACAGCTCACGGTTTGCACAGCTTGATGGGGACCTGCTCTCACCGCTTCTGGGTGGATGGCAACAGAGGATGGTCCTTTGCATTTTCTGCTGAAGGGTTTCAAAGAACTTTTGCAGAGAGGGAGACGTTGGGTGGGAACTACATGATCTTTAAGGTCCCTTCCAACCCAAACCATTCTATGATTCTATGATTAAGTACCGATATGGGCTGTTCAGAGAGGAGGAGATTAAATAAGAGAGCTCAAAACCTGTCCATTTTAAAATGCCTCTTGCACACTATAAGCATCTGCTGATCTGAGGCAGAATGGGAGGAGATGGGAGCTGGTGGGAACCCAGCATCCACTGCTGCATTTAAACATGCTAAGCTTGGTAAGCCCCCCAAAAAAACAGGGAGAGATGGAGGGCTGTGTAGGGTCAGCCGTGGCAGAGAGGATGCCTCTGCAGGCAGCTCCTGCCTCCTGCCTGGGGCTTCTCAACATCATGGGAAGCAATGTTGGTGAGGGACATGCTCGCTCTGCTCCTTCCAGTGTGGTCCTCTCTGCCCTGGGAAGGAGCAGTAAGATGCAGATGGGATTGAGCAAACACAGAGAGAGAAAGGTGGCCATCGAAGGGAAAAAATTATGTGGCACAACCACTTTGTATTGTTGGAGAAGCTGGAATTGCAGAAATCATCTCAGTCACTGGGACTGAACTTGCTGCCATGTGTAGAAGAGGATTACAGATAAGTCATAACCTCACCCAGGATTTGTAAACACATTCATGTTGTATTAATACCTCTTTCAATTTTTCCCCCTCCTGAGATAACAGATCAGTCTGCATCTAAAACTCCAGTTCACCTAGGCAACAGGATATAAACTGAGAGCCTGAAAATCAGATCGCTCTCTGGTGCTATTCAAATGCCTCTATACAGAACAAGATGCAAACAGATCAAAATAATCTGACACTATGCACCACTCTTTGTTGACGTAGCACCCAAAAGCTGAGGGGACCTGAGTGCCAAAAAACATGATAGCAAACACCCTGCTGTGCAAAGTTGCCACAGGCCACTAAATAAATAAAAATGTTGTGAAAAGAGGAAAAGAAGGAAAGGCTGTGTGGAGCAGACTGTGGCTGCCCATCAGATGGGGGCTGTACACCCCTGCTCAACCTAGGACCTCCCTCTGCTCTTGGCATACTACTGTGAGAGCCAGGAGCTTGCCCCAGTGCCTGGAAAACCCTCTGTGCTGGTTTAGCTTTTGTACTTTCTTTTTCCAGATGTTACATATAAATACATGTGTTCAGGTAAGCAGAAGATATTTTAACATCATTTTCTGAATGCAAGAGAAGAGGCTTTAAAGAAAAAAACATGAGACTCATGACAGACACAAATATAGAGGCTAGATATAGTCTCTGTTGGCTTTGATCCTTTTTTAATGCTTTTTTTCATGTTTTTCCCTTGACTAATAATTGTTCTGATTTTATTTGAAAGGTAACACTCAAATAATCTAGATCATTTTCTCTCCTTTATGTAAAACATCCTCCTGAAAACCAACACAAAAAAGAGTACAACACGACACCATAGAAACTGGAAGGAAAAGTCTTCATACAAATAATATGAACTTGAGTATTGTGAGATGTGAACTGAAATCTGTCCTTATTCTCCTCTCTCTCCTAGCAAAACCTCATGCCTCTTCAGGATACCCTTTACAATGGCCTCAATCTTAAAGAGAACAGGAAATAAAAATGACACAGGTCTTTCCTTTCTTTGAAAAAATACACCCAAGAGTAATCCCAGTGAATGAGTGGATTTCCATCTGGGTAGGACTGGTGAGAGTGGAAAAGCGTCACTGATTATTTTTCTGTGGGGCTGAGGAGTTATCTCAGGACATTTCATCATACACCATGACTCTCCTCTCCATTGAAATGTTTGTACTGCTATGATCAAGTGACAAAATAACTGGCATCCTTATAATGGAAGGACTCCCGCAATTTGAAATCCCTGGCAGGCCTGATCTCTGAGGCAAGTGTGGGAAGCAGAGTTGCCTGGCTGCGATTGCCGGGTTCTGGGCTCTAATGCATTTGGTATGGCTTTTGCTAGGTGCCCATCTCCTTAGTCACTGGATCTGCTGTCAGACAGTTTTCCAGGTAAGGGAAATGCAGCACAAGCCTCAGCAATGTAAGTTTTAGGCAGTATTGGCTCCCTGGGATTTGTGGAGGAGGGAAGATTACAAATAATGGCTTTAGAGACAAAAACAATGTAGACAGAGAAAGACAGATTCCTCCCACTGCTTCTCCTGGGCTGAAGAAAACCCACAAACACAGCTGAAAGCAAAGCAAAAGCTTTTCCAAACAGAAGTCTCCAGGAAGGAGGAAGCCAGCCTTGAAAAATGCAGATATTTAAAGTGACACAAAGGCCCCTCTGATGCATTTCTAACTCACTTGAAATCTCTGGCAATGACTGTGGGACATAAAGACAAACTTGGGCCAAGTACGAGCCATTACTTTTACTGTGCAAGGCCAACCCAGCAAAGCAATAGGTGTTCCGTGGTTAAACTTATTTAAATCACTGATTGTGTTTTCAGGCCTTCAACTGTTCAAGTGGATTTCTCTGTACATTCTGCAGACACAGTGAAAGTGGGTGTGATTTTGATCGTAATGTATGGGAGAACTTATAATGAGATAGAGCTGACACAGGATGAGTTCCACCTCCCCAGTGGGAGATGCAGAGGCTTCTGGCAGACAAGGCTGTATTGCCAAAATAACAACCAGGTTCAGGAAATGGGGAGATTTTTCCTGACCAGCTGCAAGTCCTTTCCTCCCTCCCACAATGCAGTGTAGGAAGGAAAGGGGGCTGAGCCCTTCCAGGGCAGGAGGGACAGGAGGAGACATAGGGTGGAGGAGCAGTGTGGAGCACAGTTTCCTGCACACTTCCATTGCACAGTGTCTCCTGGTTTATAGCTGGGACAGAGCTGGGTTTCATTTTAGTAGCTAGAATAGCACTGTGTTTTGGTCTCAGCCTGGGATTTGTTATGAGAAACATTGATGACCTACCAATGTTTGCATTTGTCACTGGAAGTTGAAGGACTTCATGTTTTGTTAGTCTACAAGTGCAAGATCTAGGGGGAGGGCGATGAATATTTAAATTAATAAGGTAGACTGGTATTTGGATATGCCAGTGGGATATTCCATATCATATAACATAATGTTCAGTATATTAATGGGGGTGTCTCCCTCTCTTGTGCTCTTTGGCTTTCGCTCGGGCTCTTGCTCTCCTGGGATTGTGGTTTGAGTTTAAGACTGCGGCTCCTCCAGGAATATTATCTAGGGATGGGATGGGCTTGGGTGGTTGGTGAGCAATTCCACTGTGTATCACATACTTGCATATTTTATTACTACTATTATAATTATTATTTTAATATCATTATTATTTTAAGTTTTATTTTGTTTCATTTATTAAATTGTTCTTATCTCAGTCTACAAGCCTCCTTACCCTTGCCCCCCACAATTCTCTCCCAATTCCCTGGGCAAGGGGAGTGACTGAGCAGCCGTGCTTGGCTGCTAGCCCAGTGAAACCACACACACAGAGTCTTTGGATAGCTGCACTGAAGAGTTAAAAGATGGAGATAAGCTGTTCAAACAAGGATAAGCCTTTTGACCTACTCACCTCATAGCACCTACATGCACATTACACTTTCCAAATGTACTAAAACACACAGAACCTGAGAATTTCCCCAGTGGCTAAACTATCACTTCTGCTTCAGCCAAACTAATTTTGTCACAAGGACAAATTTGAAAAAAGAAAAAAAAAACAAAAAAGGGCAAAACAGCACTCTCCTCACTGAGGAACTGGGAGGACTTTGAAAGGGAATAGTGTTTTTTACTGAAGAATCTTGACCTCCCAGCTCTGTAACCCTGACATCATATTAATATCTCAGGAAATCCTCCTGAAGAACAGTTATCAGAGTCTAAGAGTAAAATAAGGGTCTAATTCTGTGCAGAACTGGTGGCCCTTAGCACTCATATGCCTCATGAGGATCTGAAGGCATTCAAAACTCTGTGGGATTTTGCTGGGATGAGACTGGACAGCTGCTGCCTGGGTGGGGGTTAAGGAAGTGGGAGTCAGGGGGATGGAGAAGAACAGACTATAAACCTGGGGTAGGGACAGGGACTGGGAAGGAGAAGTGGTGGCAGTGAGAGTAGCCCAAAAGATAGCTGGAAATCATGGAGATGCCCACAGGACAGGTAGCAGCCTTGTCAGATGGCAGCAATGCCTTCCTGAGGTCTGCTGAGCAGGCAGGGTCTCCTGCATGAATGAACAGCCCTTTTCTTATGGCCATCTGCTCCAAACACAATGGCTAGGAAGTGCTGAAGGAGCAGGGGCTCCAAGTAAGGGGCAGCAGTGGAGCTGCTTGCACGACACCAGAGATGCGAGGGCCCGTTCTCCTGACTCCACACATTTGTGTGTTCCCTGGTTGAGAGTGGGATGGGAGAGAGTTAAAATTTACTGAAAACTTCCTCCCTGGTTTTTAGAAATCTTTTCCTTATTCACACACTTTTTTCCACTTCGAGCATTCTTTTAACAGTGTTTGTTTTCCTAGTCAGCTTACATCCACTACTGATCCTTTTTGTGGTCACTGCATATGAAAAAGGAACTGGATTTAAATGCATTGATTTCTTCATTCTACAGATTCATACTCTGCAGGAAAAAAAAGAAGACATGGGCTAGTGGTTTACTTACAAACGAGGAAACTTTCCTGTTGGTGACTGGCAAATTAGCGATGGGAGAGGGGATCATTTGTCTTGCAGGCAGGTGTTTGCTTACCACTGAGAAGCAGCTGATTGCGCCGGTATGAAGGTGGCAGCTGACCAATGTCTTCTATTCTATGGCTCATTACCCGGGAAAGGTGACCAGTGTGATAGAGGCTTCCCACAATGATGCTATGCAAGTACATGGGTTCAATGAAGGAGCTGAGGAGAGCACCTTGGAGGCCAAGGATGTTCCACCTGGAAAAGAAATTCAGGATCAATGAAACAGATGGGTGGAGGAATGGCCACAAGAGAGCTGCCCTGGGAAAATCAGCAAAGGCCAGCACATGGGTTGGAGGGATGAGGGATGAAACCATTCCTGCCCCTGTCCTACTATGCATGAAGCACTGCACTGTGGGGTGATTATACACCTGTGGACTGATTCCCCTGTCAATAATGGTTTGAGATTACTGTGTTGCCACTGACTTAAGGGATGCATTTCATTCTTGTGTTATTGCAAATAGAGGCCTCTTGTTGAGGCCTTTCTTTATAAAAGCATTTTGTGTTTGATGAACATCTGTTTAGCATGCCTTTAGCAGAATTTCATTTTTTTCTGCCTCTATAATTTTACACTTGCAGTGGTAGAGCTAAAATGAGTGCTTTTGTTATTCTACCTTTATTTACCATTTGTCACACATTATTACCATCCTGTAGTCATACAGCCAAGACAACATGTGACTTAAGTGGCCAAAATTCCCACAAAATTTTTGTGAATAATTTTTGAAAGCCTCACAGGCTGACATTTCCTTGCACAAATCATCATGCAGATATGAAGACATCCACAAGAATCAAATCCTGTTCCTGAAGAGAAAAAAATAGAGTTATACTTTTAGGCAATTTGTTTGTAACCAATAGTTTGACCTGCTCAAAAGTGTTCAGAGTGATCGATATGTCTCACCCTGTTGCTGTCTTAAAGATGCAACAGAATAATGGTGGAAACCTTGAGGCCTTCCATCTGTTAATGACTGTGAGCTCCATACTACTGCTGTTGGATTAGTTGCCAGGACTGTTCTGCATTTTAATAACCTATGAATTTTTACATAAAGCTAAGTACAAATATGACAAGATGCTTGCTCTGAATTCTTCAGGGGACAGTAGATGTGGTGCTTAGGGACATGGCTTAGTGGTGGACTTAGCATTGTTAGGTTTATGGTTGGACTCAGTGACCTTAAAGATCTTTTCCAACCAAAGTTATTCTATCATAGAATCACAGAACTACCTAGATTGGAAAAGACCTTTAAGACAATTGAGTCTAATGATTAACCTAACACTGAAAAGTCCTATGATTCTATAAAAAGCAGAAAAGTTAGAAAGGGGAAAGAAGTCATGATGCAGTTATGTCCTTGGCAAACCTATTTAACTCAGCCCACCTAAGAAGTTGTTCCCCACCACAGAAACACTAACATGCTCACTTACACTTGGATAACGTTTTTATGTAAGTTGAACACTGTCAATATTTTTCAATAGTTTAGAGTTCAGGACTTGAAACTGAAAACACTTCAGAAAATGTAGTTTTGGAAAGCATACTTTGTCTCATTAAAAACCAAAACACCAGCAACATTTGGAATTCCGTAGCTGACTGAAGGAAATGGTAAGAGGTGTCTGCTATTTAAGGCAACATCCAGTAGCTGCCATGCTAAATAATGTGTTTAAAGTACAATCTCCATCAGCAGCAAGCATTATGTAGCTAATTTCTTACATCATTGTTCTTTTCATTAATTAACATTTCTCAACCGTTAGTGCAATTATTGCAGTGCCTCCGTGCTGTATGCCTCTTTTCATGATTAATAAGGAGTCATTATATTTCCCATTCCTGAAGCAGTCAATTAACACGGAATACTTTCCATTAATTACTGAATGTTTAAAACCAGCATGCTGTACCTGGAGAGCAATCTGCTCTAGGAACCTGTGACACCAATTGCTTTAAAAATTTCTCTTTAAATTTTATTCCAAAAACACAAGCAATTTAGCTGGCTATATTAATTCGCCTCTGAAGCAGGGCTGTGAATGAGAAACATCTTTTAATCTCATGCAAGAAAAGGCAGCCATCTGGCTGCTGAGGATTTCAGAGTCAGACTCTCCCTGTCTCCCTCTGTAAATGCAGGTCATTAAAGTAATGTGTTCATCTACATAAAACTCAAATGGAATATAAAAGATAATATTTATATACAAACAATTTAGTCCCACAATTTAAACAGTCATTGGTTTTATGAAACATTTACTTTAGTCGATCTGATTTGCATAACTTCATTTGAGGAAAAGAAGTGTGGTCATTTCTGCAAATAACATCACTTTTAAAGGAAGGAACTAGCTGCCTCTTTGAGTAAATATCTCATCATGATGCAAAATTAATAATGCAAGCTTAAGAAATACAGTTGAGTTCAGCTAACAGTACTATGCCTCTGACTAGCTTCTAAAGGCGAGTAAAAAAATTAGACACTGATATCTTTGTCCAGACAGAAACTTGTAAGATATCAGTGTTGTTTTCAACATTTGATGTTTCCTGAAAAAAACCCCTTGTATATATTGATTGAAGAAGAGAAAAAAGTAGATAAACAGAAAAACAACATATGTTCAACAATATTTGAATTTTAGCAATATGCACATCACAAGAAATCATCTGAGCTTTATTTACCAAAATAAGGGATTGTGTTCAAATAATAAATTACAAAGTAATAATGATTATTTAATTTTAATTCTTTACAAGGAACTTGCCTTTTCTTTAGAGATATTTCTCTGCCTAATTCTGAGCTTGTTAATCCCAGTGTAAAAAGGAGTTTGGATGTCAATGAAATTACATTATTGGAAATCATACTATAAGCATGATCAGGTGATCTCCTATGTATTAAAAGCATTTTGTAATCACTAATTAATTCTTCACAATGCTGCTGTGAGGTAACCTCCCATTTTTATGCACCCCGGGCAACCAAGGCAGAAGTGCAGTGTGCTTTGCTGAAGTCTGCTGTGTTATTTAGAGTCCACAGCTTCTGGATATAACAGTTGTTCCATGAGACAACCCTGTTTTCCCATCCCAAAATAAGACCTAGGCAGGTGTAAGGGGTAATGGAATTTCTGTATCAGCCATACTGGGTTTTGACTTCAAGGTATAAGTAGATACAAGATGAACTGGATGGAGGGGCCAGACCCAAAAAAACAAGGAAGAAGAAACATAACAAGATGACATGCCTGATGGGTAGAAGGTGGTGTAAAAAGAGACTGTCCCAGAACTGGACAGCATGCTGTGGTAGGAAGGACAGAGAAATCAGAAAAGGTGCTGACAGTGAGAACACCACATTTAGTGGGCACTGTTTGTCGGGTCTTCTTGAGCAATGCCCAGGCTGGTGTCCACCATGGTGGTGGTGGGGAAACAGGCTGAGGGTGATGGCACTGCCACCTGTACGCTGGCTGCTTCCTGGTTCAACACAGCCCTGTTTTAGCAGCACCCATTCAGAGAAGAGAGATGAAAAAGCAGAGAAGGAGTTTTGTTTTCAAGACTAGCCCAGGTTTGGCAAAGTGTTTGGCCACTTGTTTCATTCTGGAAAGCAGCCTTGTGCATGTGCAGGAGTCTCACTAAGTCAGCACAAGTCCTAGGAAAGGGGTCCTGTGCTCAGCTGGCCAAAACAAGACCCTTGCACTCTTCTCTTGTCCTTCAGAGCACAGTAAAAACCCACTAATGATGAGGGAAATCTTCAGTCACTCATTCTGCTTCTGTCTGTGGATAAAAAGACCTATCTTGGAGGGCAGCCAGTTCAGTATTTTGCATAAACAATAGATTTAACTGACAAATATTTGGGGGAAGGTCTTTGATCCTGTATGTTGTTCATCTCTTGACCAACACACATGGCTGATGTATGACTCGGTCCTTTGATATCAAAACATCTATGGGATTATTTGTAGGTAGAAG